AAAATCAAAGATGTGTTTAGAATAAAATATACAAATTTCCCAATTTCAATAAAAAATATGCATTTTTCCCAATAAAAAACGGTACAAGTAGTTTTGAAAAAAGACAACAATATCACTGATATCGTATACTATGTTGGGTTTAAAATTTGTCGCGGGGGCTATACCCAGAAAAAGTCTAAAAAGAAAACCAGATACTGAAGAGGAAAAAACAAAAAACAAAAGCAGTTTAAAGAAAATAGAAAAGAACGTAAATTTAATGTGAAATGGACAGAGGGTGGTGAATGGCTAAAATATGACAACGGTGTAATGTGTAGTCTGAGTAAGGTGGAAAGCTGGAGCAGAATTTTTTAATTTAGCCGGGAACAAAATCATAAGCCAAAGATGTTTTATTTTTTTATATTTTTTTTGGTCCAGTAATATATTAATCATTATCGCCATTTTACGAATTTTTCCTTTGATCTTGCTGACTGATAATTTCCATTCTCAGCAGAGACGAGTGATATGAAAACGGAGTCGAGTGATATGAAAATTATCGCAAGAAACTAAGGGAACACGTGCCGTTGTCAAGGAAATTAACAACGTCTTCATAGGTAAAATAGGGATAAACAGATTATCATTGGTCATCTCAGCTCGATTGCTTTTCTCACTTTTGCCGTACCAGCTCAAGCGAGAAAATCAATCTGGTTGAGATAACCAACGATAATCTCTAATTACTGGACCAAATGTCCAGTAAATATCAGAAAACCTTGGGAACCATTGGGCGGGCGTACATTATGACGTGTTTTCTGGTTTCTAAATTTGGAACAACAACAACACTACAACGTGACAAATGTCAAACATATTCAAAGTCGCTTTTAAAGACGCAAGAACAAATTTAATCAAACTTAACTGTTCAGCCATTTTTATTTAATGTCAAAAATATGCATCACTAGAAAAGTTGGGAAAAAATTCTGAAGGGTTACATGAAGGACAGCTATGTCGTCTGCCTGTCAGACACCAGATCTTCAAGTCACATGCCTGTCATGTGGTTTTTGGTCGTACTTATCAATAAAGTGCTTCACTGAGCGCAGCCTGATATGACTGCAGAGGTCGAACCCTGAACAGTTGGGGCAAGTTTGGACACAATATTCAAGCTTGATACTGTCTGAATTTGGATTGTAATCAAATTTTGACATAATATAGGTTTCTGACACAAAATAAATGTGGTCAAAGATCTTGAAAATTTTAATTTACCTAGAATGGTCTGATATCCAAAATCTTACTACATGGTTAGATTTAGCATATACAAAAACACCAAAAATTTAATTTTAGTTGAAATCAAACAAAGTTTAATTTTGGACCCTTCAAACCTTAATATGGACTAATTTGAAAACAGGGCCCAAAATAAAAAATCTAAATGCACAATATGATTCAGCATATCATACAGCCGCTATAATTCAGTTTTTGATGAAATCAAACAAAGTTTAATTTTATACCCTTTTGACCTCAATGTAGACCAATTTAAAAATGGGGCCCAATATCCAAAATAGTAATACAAGGTTAGAACCCCCAAAAATTGAAGACTTTAAATTAATCACATTGAAATTGGTTAAAAGATTTCTATTTATTTTCAATTGAAGATTTCTTGCTATTGCGCAATACTGTGCAATTGAAGATTTCTTGCTATTGCACAATACTGTGCAATTGAAGATTTCTTGCTATTGCCCAATACTATGCTATTGCGCAATACTGTGCAATTGAAGGTTTCTTGCTATTGCGCAATACTGCGCTATTGTGCAATACTGTACAATTAAATTTTCTTGCTATTGCGCAATACTGTGCAATTGAAGATTTCTTCTTGAAACTTTTCAAAAAATTTGAAATTTCAATAATTTTGAAGAAAAAAAATATGAACCCACAAAAAAAAATTGGAAAAAAAATCCCCCCCCCTTGGAATAATTACCCCCAAACTCAATCCCAGCCTTCCCTATGTGGTATGGAACCTTGTAGTACAATTTTAAAGAGATCCATAAACTAAAACACAAGTTATTGTCTGGAAACTAGTAAAATGATATAAGAAGATGTAGTATGAGTGCCAATGAGACAACTCTCCATCCAAGTCAAAATTTATAAAAGTAAACCATTATAGGTCAAAGTACGGTCTCAGACTACACGAATGAACTTTATTTTTACAGGACATTCGGTCTGGTAAACAACCTAGCTTTACCAGACCGAATGAAATTTTACCAGACCATTTTTTTTTTACATCTAATTGTATATTATCCGACAAAATACAAAAAACTTATTTGTTGATACTCCTCTCCAAAAACATACAAAAACGAAAAGTGTAAAAGTGATGAAAGTTGTGCACAATTGCTTGAATGCATTTCAGTGATAAAGAAAAGTGATGTCATATTTTATTGGATTTGACCTGAAAACTATTTGTGAACTAAAATTATTTAGAGTTTCTGTATAAAATATTTCCTGTTTCTTCTTTCTTTTTCATATATCTTTTGGTTTTCAATTCTAGTGTTTATATTTCATAGCTGTATTTTGTGACCTGCTTGGAATTTTTTTTATTTATTTATTGTATTTGATCGGCAAACCCGGAATATTTGCCTTATCCGTTCCTGGAATCTGATCCGGTATTGTCTACATTTCCGGTTGATGGCCGCCATTGTTGTTTTTGTCAGTGAGATATGTTTTTACTCGGATTTACACATTACTTGTTGGCGATTTTCGGCATAAAGCAAGCAGTTGAACAAAATAAACATCGCTGTCATGAATAATAAAGATGAAATGAATTTTGAGATCGTTTGGGAATTTTGCTAGAATGCTAGAAATATCCATGAAAAAAAAACAACACCGGACATTCAGACCGGAATTCAACAAAATTTTACCAGACCGATCCATTATTTCTCCGGATTTGTCCGACGAATTTCGTGTAGTCTGCGGTCTTCAACACGGAGCCTTGGCTCACACCGAACAGTAAGCTATAAAGGGCCCCATAAATTACTAGTGTAAAACCATTCAAACGGGAAAACCAACAGTCTTACCTATATAAAAAACGAGAAACAAGAAACGAGAAACACTTATGAACCACATCAACAATCGACAACTACTGAACATCAGATTCCTGACTTAGGACAGGTGCAAACAAATGCAGCGGGTTTAAACGTTTTAATGGTACCAAACCTTCACCCTTTTTCTTAAACAATAGTGTAACATCACAACATAGAAAGACACACTATAAAATATCAACTGAAATAGCTTAACTTAATGCTTGTTTTTGGCCCCTTTTTTGCCCCCAATTCCTGAATGATTGGGGCAATTACCCCCAAACTCAATCCCAGCCTTTCCTTTGTGATATGGAACCTGGTGGTACAATTTCAGAGAGATCCATACACTAACACACAAGTTATTGTTTCGAAACTACAAAACTGCTTGTTTTTGGCCCCTTTTTGGCACCTAATTCCTAAACTGTTGGTACCATAACCCCCAAAATCAATCCCAACCTTTCTTTTGTGGTATTGAACCTTCTGGTAAAATGTCATAGAGGTCTATTCACTTAAACTAAAGTTATTGTTTGGAAACCAAATGTGTCTTCGAATGATGCTGATGACGACGGCGATGACATCATAGCATTATACGAACGCAAAAAAATTTTTGCGGTCGTATATAAAAACCAGTGAGTTAAAATTAACATGGTTCTTATATAAAATGGTTGTCCAAAATCAAATTTATTCAATATACTATTGACAATTCTTTATATACAACCTTAACACATAAAGATAAAAACAGTCTGAACTTTTTACATTTAATACCAAATTTTGAAAACTCCATTTTAAATTCAAAAAATAATGTCTTTTGTAGAAACCCAGTGCCAATCTGAAAAAAAAAATCAAAATGTTACAATTTCAGCACATGAAACATCAACCAAAAGCTATTTAGTTATTTTTAGTACTGAAAAGTATTAAATAATTTTTTTTATGATTCAAGCAATCACCAGAACCTTGACTTTAGAAAACACTCATTTCGGGATTTTATATTCATTTCCTGTCCGAGTACTGATCCAATTTTTATTTCATACGAAAAACATATGACGCCATTTTATGACGTACGAAAATCGCAAAGTAATCGGAAACAGTAAAAAATTGCAGTAAGGATCAATGGATTTGAATGCCAGAATGGGGACATATAGTTGGAACCCCCCCCCCCCCCCTTTTTATCCTTGGTTAGGAACCCCTTTTATAATGGCTGGATCCGCCCCTGACACTAGGATATGATAGATTTTCCTTAACTGTAAAATGAATATATGTAATAAAAAGAAATTATTTGTGACTTTTTCAGTTTATGTCCTATCAAATTTGTGACTCTCTGTCCGTTTACCAAACATTTTAGGTATATTCTGGGAAATACTTTTTAATGATTTTCGTCTGGGAGTATTGGGGAGGGCATTGGGAATAGGGGAAGGAAAGGGAAGTGGGAATCAGCCCCCCCCCCCCCCCCCCCCCCCTCATATATCAAGAACAAAGAAAAAGGGGAATGTCTATGGTGTAAGTTTACACATCCTGGGATCCTTGGTCGTGCAATATAAACGTTCGTTCAACAGTAGATACGAAAGAGAGTGTGTGCCAGTGTGTCAGTCTAGTGTAAACAAGACCCTTACTGACCAATTTTTGTTGTCATTATTTTTTGCTCTTTCCCGCCATTTTCCAAACCGGATAAAGTAATGTAATCGCTAAATTATGGAGCTGTTTAGAGGTTGTTAGCTCCATGACAACTTCACATAATTTTGCAAAATTGATGACGTTAAAATAATTGTGTAAATTCCAATTACTTTCAATATTAATACGCGTAATGAAAGAAATCTTCTTTGAATGCCATAGTTTCGTCTTTTGAAGTATCTTAAAATCTGTCAAAGTCTCTTTAAAACACTTTTAAAAACGATCACAACGTGATTTCTTTTGTAAACTGATTCAAGATCGGCACTTCATTTTAGCGTAGGCTTTATTCTGGAGTGATTTTGCATTCATGTCGGAATTTGATGTAATCAAACTAATGGTCTGAAAATATGAGTACTGAAATAGAGCCCCATATAACCAAAAAGTATGAAATCAAGAAGCGGCTCGGTAAAGGGGTTAGTATTGTATACTCTGAACAAATAAACGGTGTTGGTTTCTCACATTAACATAATTCTGAATGCATTTTTAAGTCGAATGTTGCCGGAATGTGTTGATACTTGATTTCAGGGACTTTGACGTCTGTGATCCCCATTAGAGTTACGGTCCCGTCTGAAATGGATTTCAAACAAATGACGGAAAATGACTAGTCCTAGAAGAATTTGGAAAATGATATCTATTCATGAAGATTGAAAATGCCAAAGAAAAAACCAATGTGATGCCGAACCCGGCATTCTTCTACCTGGGTCCACACACTTGTAATGTATAGGATAATGATAATTAATCAGGGTCACAGACACTAGACGTTCTATCAATAATAATAAAATATTGGCAATGGGAAGAAAATAGCTTCCCATTGGCCATATTTTATTATTATTGATGGAATGTTGATTCCCTATATAGGGTTAATATGCATGTGATACATGTACATTGTATGTTACTCTCCTGCATGTTTGCATAAAGTCCGAGATTACTCTGCGTCCAAGGGCTGTTTTGCCACACAAGCTGGAGCCATAGGATGTCAGAGCTTGTCCCATATCAAAAAGTGGATATTTACCTTCAAAATGGATAGTGACGGCATTGGATCCATATAAATTGGACCTCAATTTGTTCATTTTTCATTTATCTCTTCTAATTATTTAAGTTTTATCTACCTGCCACCCTTTATTTTCTCATATTTGGACAGTTTTCACAGTGACCCATCGATTCCAGCATTTTAACTTTTATTTTCTAATGGACGTCAAGTAACGAGAGACTTCACGGCCTGGAGACTGAAGTATGCAAATTTTTATGCTAATTTCGGCATTAAGCGTTGAGTATCCAACCATGATAACAATTGGTACACACACTGCCATTCATCTTATTTGCATCGTTAATGAACGAGGTGTTAGATGATGTATTTATATTGACCCAGGGTCATTTGCATAAATCAGCTCCCTTAATGGGTTGCACCTTACTTTTTCTCGTTGGTCACTTACAATCTTTCAAAGTGAAAGTTAAATGCTAGAATCGATGAGTCACTGTGAAAACTGTCCAAATATGAGAAAATAAAGGGTGGCAGGTAGATGAAACTTACATTTATGAAGAGATAAATAAAAAATGAACAAATTGAGGCCCGATTTATATGGATCCAATGCCGTCAGTTGGCTCCAGAAGCAATGAAGCAGCGCATCCATTTTGGACGGGCAAATATCCACTTTTTGATATGGGAGAGCTCTGACGTCCCATGGCCACAGCTTGTCTGGCAAAACAGCCGTTGGACGTCAGAGTTATTTCTGACTAGTTGGTATTATGCTGACTTCATGAACAGGTTATATTTAAAATGAAGTTATTATTTACATACATGTAGGCGACAATGGTAGCCCTTTAGGGTTCTGCGTCTTCAGTATAAAAAATCTGTTGAAAAAAATGGCAAATTTTGAATTTTCATCTTGGGTGTGAATAAAACTGCAAAACACATACATGTATGGTGCTGCAGCTTTTTTGATAGAAAAATGGCAAGTTTTAAGGGTTCTCTATGGCTCCAGAATTTTTGAAATAGTATGACATGTATGGATGCACAAGGTCATGTTTTTCTCTTGTCTGTTAATGACGTCTTTACACTAAATCCATTGGATGTGTACTGATTGATATTTTTGCCTTAGATACATGATTTTTCTTATTTGTTGTTATTGGCTTTGAACTAGCTGTCAGTAACTGAGAGTACTCTCAGATCTGTACTGTGTGGTTTTTGTTGTGAAGGATGTATAAATTCCCTGCCACGTCCTGTCTGTGTTTTTGTTAGATATTTCTACTTTTATCGATCTGACGAGTTGAGCCCTTTTCAACTGCTTTTTATAGTTTGTTCATATGTTGTACTGTTACACCTCTGTCCAAGGTTATGGGAGGGTTGGAGCCTTCAAAATGCTTAATCCAGACACATAAGAACTTATGTGTCTGTCCCAAGTCAGTAGTTCAGTGGTTGTCGTTTATATAAAAGTAAGAAGATGTGGTATGGTTGCCAATGAAACAACTCTCCACAAGAGACCAAAAGACACAGAAATTAACAACTATAGGTCACCGTACGGCCTTCAACAATGAGTAAAACCCATACCGCATAGTCAGCTATAAAAGGCCCCAAAATGACAAATGTAAAACAATTCATACGAGAAAACTGACTATGTTCATGTCTGTTTTTTTTTTGGTAAATTGTTGTTACACATGTATAAATTAGGCCGTTAGTTTTCTCAATTGAATTGTTTCATATTTAACATGTCAGGCCTTTCAAAGTGACTTTACAGTACTTTGACTTTATCTCATTGTTGAAGGTCGTATGTTTGCCTTTTATTGCTTACATCCACTTCATTTGAACTGTGGTGGATAGTTGTCTCACTAGCAATCATACCACATCTCCTTATTTTTACATTTTACAAATTAACTAGCAACAATTGCCAAAATGTTTTAGATCTTTAGATGGGAGAAGAGTCCTCTTTATTTGTAAATTTACTGATGCTGTACTACATTGTTTATATGGTTAGTTCCCAATTGTGACATTTTCATTGATTTGATTCACAATTTGGCATGGAGTGTGATGCATGTCTAGCTGTCATCACTTATCCTCTCTGGAAGCAAGTCCTGTACTATTGTAATCTCATATCATGTCATCTCATACCACTAAAAAGTTGTATAGACATGATGGAGGAAACTTGTACCAAAAAAAGTATCCAATATCCATATAACTATGCATTGTCATTAAAAACAATATTTAATTTTAATATCATTTTGAGATTAATTAATTGATGGATTGACTTTAATTTATTTTATTTATAACCATAGAATTATTTAGTTAATAATTAATGTTTTGATCATTGCCATTCATGATTCTAATTAATAAATTATCAAAAAAAACTGATGTTGAAAGAAATCCAAGACTTACATTTGTAGTCCTAGCTTTGGGTCATGATCTCCTACAGGGCATGAAGAACACATTTGAATTAATTACCTAACAAAAATGAAAAGCCAATGATTCATCACCAGCATTTAAGACTTGAAAATACTTCCAAGGGTTAAAAAGGAAACCTGCATGGATTACATGTTTTTGTAAACAGTTTGATGACCAGAAATAGTATACTGAGGACTTTCATGTATGTCCATTAAATTTACAGAGCTGTTTTTTTTAAGAAAAAATATTCGTCTATCTTTAACATGTATGTAATCATATATTTTTATATTCAAAGGCATATGGGATTGTATGGAAAGCAATTGATAGGAGAACTGGTGAGGTTGTTGCAGTCAAAAAGATCTTTGATGCCTTTAGAAATCAGACAGATGCACAGGTAGGGAGCTATACTCGATCATGTCTTTTGAAGCAAATCTTGTGACTTTAGGAAATAATTAATATTGTACCAGTATTGTTTCACAAAGGTATAACAGTTTTGAGATATTTTACTGCCCTCGTCGTAGTGGTGGGGGCATTAAGTTTTACCCTTGTCTGTACGTACGTACGTACATCCGTCCGTACATCCCAAAATTGGTTTCCTTTCTCTAACTTGAGTTTGCTTCAACCAAATGTTATGAAACTTATACACAATGCTTAATACTACAAAAAACAGATCAAGTTTGAATTTTAGTGGCGTCACTTTAACTGTTCTAGAGTTATGCCCTTTTATAAATGGAAAAATTGCAAAATTTTTAGTTTCCGTTCTCTAACTTAAGTTTGCCTCAACCAAATGTTATGCAACTTATACACAATGCTTATTACCACAAAACACAGATCTAGTTAATTTTGGTGGCGTCACTTTAACTGTTCTAGAGTTATGCCCCTTTATAAATGGAAAAATTGCAAAATTTTTATTTTCTTCTAAATATCATGTAATTTTTATACGACCGCAAAAAAATTTTTGTGGTCGTATATTGGTATGACGTTGGCGTCGTCGTCGTCGTCGTCCGAAGACACATTGGTTTTCGCACTCTAACTTTAGTTTAAGTGAATGGATCTTTATGAAATTTTACCACAAGGTTCAATACCACAAAATTAAAGGAAGGTTGGGATTGATTTTGGGGGTTATGGTAATAACAGTAAAGGAATTAGGGGCCAAAAATAAGCATTTTTGTAACTTCCAGACATAACTTGTGTGTTAGTGTATGGATCTCTCTGACATTGTACCACAAGGTTCCATATCACTAAAGGAATGCTGGGATTGATTTTGGGGGTAATTGCCTCCAAATTTTAGGAATTAGGGGCCAAAAAAGGGGCAAAAAACAAGCATTTTTCTAGTTTCATGACAATAACTTGTGTGTAAGTGTATGGATCTTTCTGAAATTGTACTACAAGGTTCCATATCACAAAGGGAAAGCTTGAATTGAGTTTGGGGGTAATTGCCCTAAATGTTTAGGAATTTGGGGCCAAAAAGGGGCCAAAAAACAAATTTTTTTTTCTAGTTTCCAGACAATAACTTGTGTTCAAGTGTATGGATCTCTCTGAAATTGTACTGCAAGGTACCATACCACAAAGGGAAGGCTGGGATTGAGTTTGGGGGTGATGAATCATAATGGGGGTTCAAAAAATTTTGGGGGGGGGGATTTATTTTTTTTTCCTTTTTTTTCTTTTTTTCCTTTTTTGTTTCTTTTAAAATTTTCCATTTTAAGTTGGTTATTTCTGATTTATATTTAAAATCAAATAATAATGATATGGTAGGAGATCTATACATGTACACACCAAACAGGATGTGTAAATTATTATATAATAAGTATTGTGCAATAGCAAGAAATTTTCAATTGCACAGTATTGCACAATAGCAAGAAATCTTCAATTGCACAGTATTGCGCAATAGCAAGAAATCTTCAATTGCACAGTATTGCGCAATAGCAAGAAATATCCAATAGCACAATATTGCGCAATAGCAAGAAATTGTCAATTGTACAATATTGCGCAATAGCAAGAAATATTTAATAGCACAGGATTGTGCAAAAGAAGATACTTCCTATAAATTGCTTATTTCTTGACCAATTTCAATGGGGTTTTATTCTTGATTTCATGGGGTTCTTTAATATGTTGAATCTAACTGTGTACTTAGTTTTTGGATTTTGGGCCCCGTTTTTAAATTGGTCCACATTGAGGTCCAAAGGGTCCAAAATTAAACTTTGTTTGATTTCATCAAAAATTGAATTATTGGGGTTCTTTGATATGCCGAATCTAACTGTGTATTTAGATTCTTAAATTTTGGTTCCGTTTTCAAATTGGTCTACATTAAGGTCCAAAGGGTCCAAAATTAAACTTAGTTTGATTTTAACAAAAATTGAATTCTTAGGGTTCTTTGATATGCTGAATCTAAACATGTATTTAGATTTTTGATTATGGGCCCAGTTTTCAAGTTGGTCCAAATCGGGGTCCAAAATTAAACTTTGTTTGATTTCAACAAAAATTGAATATATGGGGTTCTTTGATATGCTGAATCTAACCATGTATTTAGATTTTTGATTTTTGGGCCCCGTTATCAACTTTGTCCACATTGAGGTCAAAAGGGTCCAAAATTAAACTTTGTTTGATTTCATCAAAAATTGAATTATTGGGGTTCTTTGATATGCCGAATCTAACCGTGTATTTAGATTCTTAATTTTTGGTTCCGTTTTCAAATTGGAGTACATTAAGGTCCAAAGGGTCCAAAATTAAACTTAGTTTGATTTTAACAAAAATTGAATTCTTAGGGTTCTTTGATATGCTGAATCTAAACATGTATTTAGATTTTTGATTATGGGCCCAGTTTTCAAGTTGGTCCAAATCGGGGTCCAAAATTAAACTTTGTTTGATTTCAACAAAAATTGAATATATGGGGTTCTTTGATATGCTGAATCTAACCATGTATTTAGATTTTTGATTTTTGGGCCCCGTTATCAACTTTGTCCACATTGAGGTCAAAAGGGTCCAAAATTAAACTTTGTTTGATTTCATCAAAAATTGAATTCTTGGGATTCTTTGATATGCTGAATCTAACCATGTATTTAGATTTTGGATATTGGACCATAATAGGTGAATGTCCAATTTAAAATTTTTAAGTTCTTAGACCACATTCAATCTGTGTTAGAAACCTATGCTGTGTCAAATATTTAATCACAATCCAAATCCAAAGCTGTATCAAGCTTGAATGTTGTGTCCATACTTCCCCCAACTGTTCAGGGTTCGACCTCTGCGGTCGTATCAAGCTGCGCCCTGCGGAGCATTTTATTAAAATTGGAGTTATCTTTCTTTGTCGACGATTATAGTTGGATCAACTACAATCAATGCTTTATACAATGCAATGTTTGATTTTGACTTCCACAGATAAAACACAGATCAATTTGAATTTGGGAAGTGTCACTTTATCCATTATTGAGTTATGCCCCTTTATAAATCCAAAGATTGCAAAATTTTTAGTTTCCATTCTGTAACTTAAGTTTGCCCCAACCAAACATTTTGAAACCTATACACAATATTCATTACCACAAAACTAAGATCAAGTACAATTTTTTTGTTTCCGTTTTCTAACTTTAGTCAGCCTCAACCAAATGTTATGAGACTTACACACAATGCTTATTACCACAAAACTCAGATCAAGTTAAAATTTGGGTAGCATCACTTTTACCGTTCTTCAGTTATGTTGTCCCTTTATAACTATATGATATGCAAGGGGGCATCATCTGTGTCCACATGTCATGTGGACACTATCCACATTTATTTGTTTCCATTTTCTAACTTTAGTTTGCCTCAACCAAATGTTATGAAACTTATACACAATGCTTATTACTACATAATACAGATTAAGTATGAAATTTGGTGGCCACACTTTTACCATTCTTGAGTTATGTCCTTTATAAACATAGAAATTGCTGAAATTTTCGTTTCGTTCTCTAACTTTAGTTTGTCTCAACCAATATAAAACTTATACACAACCGTTCTAGAGTTATGCATGTTTACAAATAGAAAAATTGCTGAATTTTTAGTTTCTGTTCTCTATTTAAGTAAGCCTCAACCAAATGTTATGAGACTTCACACAATGCTTATTACCAAAAAACTCAGATGAAGTTCAAATTTGGGTAGCGTCACTTTTACCGTTCTTCAGTTATGTCCATTTATAACTATATGATATGCAAGCAGGGGCATCGTCTGTGTCCACATGTGGACACTTTCCACATTTATTTTTCTACAAGTAAGATTTTTGTACGGTCAGAAAACTTTTTCTGTGTGGTCCGTAAACTTTTTCAAATATTATTTCCTCTGAAACTACAGAATTACTTTTGATAAAACTTGATGTCTCTGTATACAAAATATATATATAGATACAAAGTTTTGAATACTCAATAGATACTAGTTATGCATCCTTTCTAGGAGTGGGGTAAATACATTTATTTCTTATGAATCAAGAATATAGCATTCTGATTGGTTAGTGACTTGGGTGTAAATAACATGTACACCCCACTCTAGCCAAACTATTTACACCTGAGTTTGAAATTTTGCTAAAATTAAAAAAAAAATAAAAATTGCTAAATTAAAATATAAATGCAAAAATTGCAAAAGAAATTAAAATTTAATACAAAAAAAATTGTTTGCCAAAATTTTGCAAAAATAAAAAAAAAAGTAATTGAAAAGTAATATTTTACAACGTGCAGCAAAAATGAGTAAAGAAACACAGTGCCGAAGAGTGTATTCATTTTCAAGACTGCTGTAAAATTCAATACACTCCTGATTACATCAATATAATTACCTAAAATGATATTGCAATCTCGTTGTGTTTTTTCGTCAAACAAATATTTTCCTCTCACTTTTACTCAATGTACTTCAGTACTACTAAACACTGTCTTAGACAATACCACTGTCCTTTGGACAATCCATGTATCACGATAATGTCCGGTTTTTATACAACCGCAAAAAAATTTTTGTGGTCGTATATTGGTATGACGTCGTCGTCGTCCGAAGACACATTGGTTTTCGCACTCTAACTTTAGTTTAAGTGAATGGATCTCTATGAAATTTTACCACAAGGTTCAATACCACAAAAGGAAGGTTGGGATTGATTTTGGGGGTATTGGTACCAACAGTAAAGGAATTAGGGGCCAAAAATAAGCATTTTTGTAACTTCCAGACATAACTTGTGTGTTAGTGTATGGATCTCTCTGACATTGTACCACAAGGTTCCAAATCACAAAGGGAATGCTGGGATTGATTTTGGGGGTAATTGCCTTAAAATTTTAGGAATTAGGGGCCAAAAAAGGGGCAAAAAACAAGCATTTTTCTAGTTTCATGACAATAACTTGTGTGTAAGTGTATGGATCTTTCTGAAATTGTACTACAAGGTTCCATATCACAAAGGGAAAGCTGGAATTGAGTTTGGGGGTAATTGTCAAAACGTTTAGGAATTGGGGGCCAAAAAGGGGCCAAAAATAAGCATTTTTCTAGTTTCCAGACAATAACTTGTGTTCAAGTGTATGGATCTCTCTGAAATTGTACTGCAAGGTACCATACCACAAAGGGAAGGCTGGGATTGATGATGGGGGTAATTGCCTCAATATTTTAGGAATTAGGGGCCAAAAAGGGGCAAAAAACAAGCATTTTTCTAGTTTCAGGACAATAACTTGTGTGTAAGTGTATGGATCTTTCTGAAATTGTACTACAAGGTTCCATATCACAAAGGGAAAGCTGGGTTTGAGTTTGGGGGTGATAAATAATAAGGGGGTTCAAAAAATTTGGGGGGGGATTTTTTTTTTTTTCCTTTTTTTTCTTTTTTTCCTTTTTTTTTTCTTTTAAAATTTTCCATTTTAAGTTGGTTATTTCTGATTTATATTTAAAAGCAAATAATAATGATATGGTAGGAGATACACACCAAACAGGATGTGTAAATTATTATATAATAAGTATTGTGCAATAGCAAGAAATTTTCAATTGCACAGTATTGCACAATAGCAAGAAATCTTCAATTGCACAGTATTGCGCAATAGCAAGAAATCTTCAATTGCACAGTATTGCGCAATAGCAAGAAATATCCAATAGCACAATGTTGCGCAATAGCAAGAAATTGTCAATTGTATAGTATTGCGCAATAGCAAGAAATATTGAATTGCACAGTATTGTGCTAAAGAAGATACTTCGTATAAATTGCTTATTTCTTGACCAATTTCAATGGGGTTTTATTCTTGAATTCTTGGGGTTTTTAATATGCTGAATCATACCGTGTATTAAGTTTTTGGATTTCGGGCCCCGTTTTTAAATTGGTCAACATTGAGGTCCAAAGGTCCAAAATTAAACTTTGTTTGATTTCATCAAAAATTGAATTATTGGGGTTCTTTGATATACCAAATCAAACCGTGTATTTAGATTCTTAATTTTTGGTTCCGTTTTCAAATTGGTCTACATTAAGGTCCAAAGGGTCCAAAATTAAACTTAGTTTGATTTTAACAAAAATTGAATTCTTGGGGTTCTTTGATATGCTGAATCTAAACATGTATTTAGATTTTTGATTATGGGCCCAGTTTTCAATTGGTCCAAATCGGGGTCCAAAATTAAACTTTGTTTGATTTCAACAAAAATTGAATATATGGGGTTCTTTGATATGCTGAATCTAACCATGTATTTAGATTTTTGATTTTTGGGCCCCGTTATCAACTTTGTCCACATTGAGGTCAAAAGGGTCCAAAATTAAACTTTGTTTGATTTCAACAAAAATTGAATTCTTGGGGTTCTTTGATATGCTGAATCTAACCATGTATTTAGATTTTGGATATTGGACCATAATAGGTGAATGTCCAATTTAAAATTTTTAAGTTCTTAGACCACATTCATTCTGTGTAGAAACCTATGCTGTGTCAAATATTTAATCACAATCCAAATGCAAAGCTGTATCAAGCTTGAATGTTGTGTCCATACTTGCCCCAACTGTTCAGGGTTTCGACCTCTGCGGTCGTATCAAGCTGCGCCCTGCGGAGCATTTTATTCAATAACTATTATGTAAATACATGTGTGCTTGTTTTTCAGAGAACTTTCAGAGAGATTATGTTCCTACAGGAATTTGGAGACCATGCTAATATAATCAAATTACATAATGTAATAAAAGCAGAAAATGATAAGGATATTTATTTGGTGTTTGAATTTATGGGTAAGTTTAGGGTTTTTTTTATTTTGTTAATACATGAAATAATAATATTAGATTTAGGTGAATTCAGATTGCTGTATGCTTTATTTATGCCTCATTTACAAAATCTGTTTTATATATGAGTTTATTTTTCATGTAGTAATTTATCTACATTCATAAAACTTTGTAATGATGATACATTTGTACAGTTTTTGTAGTTCAATGTTTGGACTTTATTTCAATAAAATTTACTTACTTACTTACATTTGTACTTGAAACTTGCATTTGTGTAAGGATGCATTTAAGTAAGAGTCATACACCCTCTACACTCAAATTGATATAAAATTTTGATTTCATTACTCCTACTGTTTTAGGGCTTCAATTGAGCAGTGGTCTGAGTTCCGTGACCCTTGATTGTTTTTTAGCTTGGGCCCCTACCAGAATTGGCTACCCAGACAGACTATTGTTTTTTTTTTTGCTTGTTTTAGATGTTCCTTCAAAAAATTTGTATCAATATTTTTGAAAAATGTAATTTGATGAAAGGAAAATTATTTTGGTTGCTGAAACTTCTTTATTATTCATTTTATGCTACGTCATATACTGATGGCGATCATTGTAAAAGATATGTAGGGAAATTGAGTAAATTTTAAATATCATAATACAACCAGACTATTTAAATTTTTCATGTTGATTTTTGCAAAAGAATTGTCCACAGATGGATTTCTATGAAATGTCCAGTCTACATAATTATTCATGTTATTAGAGGAATTATATCAAGTTCTAATTTTTTAGGAAATTTGTTTCAAAAGTTGATCAGTATAATTTTGTGAAACAACCAACAATATTTATCTCAATGTGAGGACCAGTGGTTGGACTTAAGATCTCAATTTTGCTTTGGTTTTGAGTTTGAATTTCCGTAAGTTATCAAAAATCTAGTAAAGTAATGCATAGTTTGATTTTATTTCCAGAGACAGATTTACATAATGTTATCAAAAGAGGGAACATACTAAAAGATGTACACAAGAGATATATTATGTACCAGTTACTCAAAGCCACGAAGTATTTACACAGTGGAAATGTAATACACAGAGATCATAAGGTATTTCCCTTCTATGGTGAAAAATTCAATACAATAAAAAAAATATATTTGTCATTGAATGAGAATGATTGAAAATAACTGTCCATAACGCTACTATGTACATTGTATTCTGTATGTGTTTTAGGTATTTTCTTGTTAATAAGAACTTGTGTCAGGTGTATTATATTCTTTGTCAAATATTTTACACTGTTTAGAGTGTGATACACTTCTTCTTTCTACACAGTTAAATTTTCAAGTTTATTTCAAAGCATAATGCTTGCTGAGCTTTTAAATATTCATGATATTAGTTAAGATTTAACTGTCAAGCTTGCAGAAATGTATTGCATAAGATATATAAGGTGGTACAATTTGTTTCTCAAATGATATTTAGACAATATGTATGCAAACTTTAACATTCTTTTTCAATGATATGCGAAAAAGATCATGTATTTTTTATGTGACATCATTATGCATGTCACAATAGCAAAATCAGAAGAAACAGGAAAAAAGACATCATAATTGAGTTTTAAAAGAATAAACAGTTGATGGGAGGTATAAATCTGTTTTGAATTAGAGAAAGAACTGATGTGTATATGTGTAGGTATTTTCTATTACAAAGTAGGCAAAGTTTGGTAAGGTTATGTATGGATTGAATAAATTACAATCAAAACTTGTTTTTCAGCCATCAAACATTTTGTTGGATAGTGAGTGTGTAGTAAAAGTATGTGACTTTGGCCTGGCAAGGTCACTGTCTCAGATTGGTATAGATGCTGAGACTGGTGATCCTAATTTAACAGAATATGTAGCAACTCGATGGTACAGAGCTCCAGAAATTCTTCTGGCTTCACACAGGTCAGTATTTCAGGACTTTCTCATGAATGGGATTACAACTGGAACTACTAGAAACATAACTTGACATACATGAGGTGTTACATTTAAATGTCCTAATTTAGATTTATTTCATTATATTTAATTTTCCTTATATACTAGTAAATAATGAAATAAACTTTTTACTTCGAGTAAGATTTTCTTGTCTTGGCTGGGACAAATATCACAGAATGCGAGGCATAGGGATACCAGTCTGGCGACGGTGTAAAGTGTTTGTTTAAAGATTTGTATTTCAGAAGATACATCATATCTTGTAAACAGATGCCTTATGTACTGAGGTTTCTGTCTGGCATTTGTTTTTTTGTTCTTTGACCTCATTTTCATGGTTCAGCAACTCTTTAAAAAAACCGTATAGCATTATTCTTTGTTGACACAGAAAAACAGTTTATTACATATCCATTATCTGACTGTCAGCATAGATCAGTCAGACTTTGGTAATTGATTTTACAGTGTAAGGGATGTTGGAAGAGATATCGCTTTCACAATAATAAAGGAAATCTTGTTAAATCATACAGAATCCTCTCAATTCTTCTCTATAAATTGTGGAGGAATTACCTATGAATTTATCTAGTGTTGAGAGTAAGGATATCCATTTGCTTACATTGTATTGTATTATTTATAATTTTTGTTTTGAATGTTCTTGTAAATTTTAGGTATACCAAAGGTGTAGATATGTGGAGTTTAGGATGTATACTTGGTGAAATGTTGGCGGGAAAGCCATTATTTCCTGGCTCCTCTACAATAAATCAAATAGAGAAAATAATGACATATATTGCAGAACCTTGTAGAGAGGGTAAGTTTATCCTGATACTACACACAGCAATTAGGAGTAAGAGCACAGACTGGTTGGAGTATCCAGGTAGGATCTTCCTGTGGACTGATACCTTCTGAACTAGCACATTAAAAATCCTACTCAGCATGTGGATCTAGGACAAAGCTTGGTTTATATTCATATCCTATCAACATGTACTAATCCTGAATGTATGCAATTTGCATCAGAAGCTAAACAACCATTCATTCACGTTTTTGTGGTAGGCTGTTGAAAGTCTATGATAAGAAAAAATTAGCTGTACAGCCATCATTGTATGTTTCAGGTTATCATCTCAAATGCATCTTTCATCAATATTTGTTTTAACATTTGAGTAATATGCAAATATGCATTACAATGCAAGGTTGGTTGTTCTCACTCTAGGTACTCAAGCTTCCTCTACCAACAAAAACTGGCTCTTGTGATATAGCAAAAGTCAACGAAAAAAGTCATTAAACACCAATAAACAACATTACATTGTACAGATAATAATGATATACAAGAAAATGAATGCTCAGGATCTGCCTTATATTTTACTGTATTTTCATAAATAGTTGAATGATTTTATATTTTCTTTATCACAGATATAGATAGTATTAAATCTGCATATGGTGCCTCAGTATTAGAGAAAGCTGCCTCTAGGTAAATATTTCAATATCATCACAGGAACCTAAAGGGTTATCATCATGCTTTTTTCACCTACCATTCACCTTTTTTTTTGGAGGGTATGGGTGTTTGTTACAAAGGAGAGACTTAGTTGTCCTTTATCTGAATGCAGAATCAACAATTTATTATAGTTTGTGATTGGATAGTTTTAAGGGAACCACTTATGAAAAGTCAATGTTATTTGGTATGCAGTTGGCACATCTCAATTCCATGGAGTTTATTTGAACCTGTCCCCTCAATATGGTCTATTGACTTTGAAACTTTGGCATAGTTTACATGTAAAGTTTAAGGTGAACCACTTATGGTAGGTCAATAATATTTGATATGCAGTTATATAATCATTACCCCATCTCACTTCCATGCATATGGAGATTATTTTGCCCTGCCCCTTCATGGTCTATTGGCACAAATTTTCTTTAATATATGAAAACATCTATAATCAATGATAATGATTTACTTCATTACTACTCTTTTATCAAATACAGTGAAACTCTTGATTATACTGAAATGTTAAGATAAGTCACAATTCTTATGATTCTTGTTTTCATACTACATGTTATACTACAATGTAAGTTCTCTTAAGATTTGTAAGCAGCACTGGCCATTTTCAGAAAGAATCTTACCCATATTTATACTTCATAATATATTTTTACAATAGCATGATCTAAAATACATTTTATAACCTCACTCTAGCACTCAATGTCTGTCTGGTCGTCAACAAATATATTTATCACACTTTTCTCAAAAGTACTGTACAGAATGACTTCATATTTGCTCAGCAGCTTGGCAGTGGCGAGTTTAAGTATGAGTACTTTTCGAATACTGATGCTTTGAATAAAGAGTGAGGTACCTGCTTAGCATGACAATGTATGCAATCTTGTTGGCACAAAGTATTCTATTGATTTAGGTTGAAAGACTTCAGCTAACTGAATGTCCCAACACCTTGAACAAAGAGAAATGTCATGAGGTACACTTTGTTGATCTTTTAACTTTTTTCACCATTTCAGGGGAAAGAAGTCATTGGAGTCTTTAATACCAGATGCACCTAAAGATGCAGCCGATTTAGTTCGAAAACTTTTACATTTTAACCCAGATAAAAGAATTACTGCTGACGAAGCATTACGACATTCATATGTAGCTAGATTTCATAATGTATCAGAAGAAATAGGATTAAATTATGATGTTGTTCCACCATTAAGTGATGACACACAGCTGACCGTTGATGAATACAGAAGTAAACTCTATGAGGTAAAGGTTAAACTGTAGTTCAGATAATCATGAAAAGATGAAAATAGTGTTTAGAGCTGTTCAAAAATTTAAAAGGGAGGAGGAGGGATATGAGGCACTCAAATTAATAAAATATGTGAGGTTGCATTTTCCTAAGCCCTTTGCTACAAAGTTGAATCCCTTTGGATGGGGTTTTGGAATTTTGAACTGTGACTAGATATAAAGGGCTTGTTGGGTGAGGCAGAAATTCTGCCTTACAATAGGTCACCTATTCACTTTTCAAACAGTTATTTCCAGCCATTAAAGGGTGGAAGTAATGCTTTCCACAAAGGTTGTCAAAATATGTGTAATTAATTAGAGTCAAGTTCATTGTAAAAGTGAAATCCGATACATCAATTAAAACAGTGTCCTGACCATTTTATTGTACTTTGTTATAGGATACAAGTAACACTTCTTGCATAGGCTTCCATGACTCAACATCTGTTCTTGAAAAGGTCAGAATAAATGCATGTATTGAAATGGTGTTAGGACTATGTTTTTGAACTTTGTTATAAGATACAAGTATTATAAAACACTTCATGCATAGGCTTCCATGACTCAATATCTGAGAATTAATGCATATATTAAAATAGCGACTAAATAAGAAATATTTTAAAAGAGAGCATTAACAGACATTTCTAAAGAAAGTAAAAATAATAATGTATTGTTTATTAAAATAAATTATTTGAAATTTTATAGATGATTATGCAGAAAAAACAGGAAAGACGACGAAAGCGACATGAAATGAGAAGTGCACCACAGCCCACCCGACATATATCCAGAACTCCAGAGGAACCTCCTCCAAGCGAACCCTACAATCGTGAAAATGAATATGACAAAGGCGCAGAGCCAAAAATATATTACAAAAGTCATCCATCAGAAGGTCACCCCCATTCAGCTCCTCATCATCAATCATCATTTTCAGGTAAGTAATAGTAGCATGTACTCTGGTTTTTCAAATTTAAAATGACAAACACATTTCCTCAGTGAAATATTTAAACAATAACATTAGTTATATAGTAATAAAAAGAGAAAAAGGTATTAAAAGCAAATTGCTAAAAATAACATGGTTATATGGCTTGAAAACAATAAGAGAAAAAACCTTTTTATGACAACAATATTGATGAAGAAATTTTCATGTGCATATTGCACAACTTGTCTTTTGGGGAAAATGTGCATGTCTGATATACATTATCCACTACAACTGAATGAAAGAGACTAGATTTCCTACATTTGTTTAATTACAAACTTTTTTGACAGCATTCGGCAGAACAACACATGAACAACCACCAAGATCACGGTTACAAAGCAGACAGAAAACCAGTATTGGAAACAATGTTCAGCATTCTAATAGTGCCACAGCTGTAAGTTCTATAATTCTTTCCATTTTGCACTGAGTGATGTAAATATACAAGTGGCCGAGTGGTCTTAATATTTGAACTACTGTTGGTGTTTCCTACAAATGTTCAACAATTCAATTTATTTTCAGAGGTTTCTTCACTGGAAAGCCTGGTAAAATTTGTAAGCCACGATCTCTGGAATTCCCTTTGCTGTATTGCCTGTCTTTTTACTCTGCCTATGTTTTCCAGTTTTTTTTTTCTTCGACTTATCATTGTCAAGGTGTTTTTATAAGGTATCTGTCCATCTCAATAAAACTCAATCATGAAAAATTGAATTAACATTTCTGTTAGATTGGGAATAAACCTTATTGACTATCCCAGGTCAATGGAGAAAACACAATGTTTATGAGCCAAGGATTCGCATACTTATTTTGGTTATCTATCTTTTTCTGGGTTTTTAGCTCACCTGACCTGAAAGGTCAAGTGAGCTTTTCTCATCACTTTGCGTCCGTCGTCCGTAAACTTTTACAAAAATCTTCTCCTCTGAAACTACTGGGCCAAATTTGACCAAACTTGGCCACAATCATCATTGGGGTATCTAGTTTAAAAAATGTGTCCGGTGACCCGGCCAACCAACCAAGATGGCCGCCATGGCTAAAAATAGAACATAGGGGTAAAATGTAGATTTTGGCATATATCTCTGAAACCAAAGCATTTAGAGCAAATCTGACATGGGGTAAAATTGTTTATCAGGTCAAGATCTATCTGCCCTGAAATTTTCAGATGAATCGGACAACCCGTTGTTGGGTTGCTGCCCCTGAATTGGTAATTTTAAGGAAATTTTGCCGTTTTTGGTTATTATCTTGAATATTATTATAGATAGAGATAAACTGTAAACAGCAATAATGTTCAGCAAAGTAAGATCTACAAATAAGTCAACATGACCAAAATGGTCGGTTGACCCCTTAAGGAGTTATTGCCCTTTATAGTCAATTTTTAACCATTTTTCGTAAATTTTTGTAATTTTTTTACAAAAATCTTCTCCTCTGAAACTTCTAAGACAAATTTAACCAAACTTGTCCACAATTATCATTAGTGTATCTAGTTTAATAAATGTGTCCGATGACCCCGCTCGCGAACCAAGATGGCCGACATGGCTAAAAAATAGTACATAGGGTAAAATGCAGTTTTTGGCTCATATCTCTGAAACCAAAGCATTTAGAGCAAATCTGATGAGGATAAAATTGTTCATAAGTCAAGATCTATCTGCCCTGAAATTTTCAGACCAATCAGGCAACACGTTGTTGGGTTGCTGCCCCTGAATTGGTAATTTTAAGAAAATTTTGCAGCTTTTGGTTATTATCTTGAATATTATTATAGATAGAGATAAACTGTAAACAGCAATAATGTACAGCAAAGTTAGATCTACAAATAAGGCAACATGACCAAAATTGTCAATTGACCCCTTAAGGAGTTATTGCCCTTTATAGTCAATTTTTTACAATTTTCATAAGTATTTTCCACTGTAATTACCGGGCCAAGTTAATTATAGATAGAGATAGTAGTAAGGAGCAAGAATGTTCAGTAAAGTAAGATCTACAAACACATCACCATCACCAAAACACAATTTTGTCATGAATCCATCTGTGTCCTTTGTTTAATATGCACATAGACCAAGGTGAGCGACACAGGCTCTTTAGAGCCTCTAGTTTAGTAGTTGTTGTCATGAACATTGATTTTTTGACTTAAATATATGTTTTTCACGTGTTTGATTGAATTGAATTTTGTCCAGTGTATTTTTTTACTTGTTCATGGGCAACCTAGATAAAAAATAATTACTTGTCTGGTTGTTCAAATGTACGAGTTGGGCATAGCATTTCCACACCCCTGAATGGGCAATACCCTTAAGAATGGTATGACATTTTCATGTACAAAATTTATTGTGACATCATCAATTTTTTTTCAGTATATTGTTTAAGGAGTAATTCAATGTGGAATAAATGCCATCAAATGAAAGAGGACATTGTTTAGAATTCTTAATAAGGCTTGACTTATTTTTTCATTGAACGGATTTAAACATTTTTTATTTTCATTTAAACATGTGCAATCCATAGTTGCCTTTTGATTTCAATCCATTAAACTTTAGAGAAATGAAAGTCATGATATCTTTCACACCTTTTAAGCTAACAGCTAAAGTATTATTTTTTCCCATTTTTGTAAACATGTCAAATGTGGTGAACAATTTCATGTACTATGATTTAACATACCAAATTATTGAAGTTGAAAATGGCAAATGTTAGACATAAGTTTAATCCAGATTTTAACATCTATAGCTCTGTGTGTTATTGTTGCATGCATGTTTCTGATTTTAACATTGGCATCACTACTAGAGAAAAAATTAATTCAAACAAATGAACACAAATGATAAACATTTTAAATTCTAAAAGAGGAAAGAAAAATGTATTCTTAGGATATACACAAACAGAAAAAATGTACTTGATTGTCTTAAGATACGTTATTATTTATATAGTACCTTAATACCACACCACTTCAGATGCAGTTATATGAGATATTTATGAGATCTCAACACCTTGGTATTCATCCCAATAAGTTTCTATATGGTAGGAACATAAAGGTGAGTCAGAGGCTTGTAACCATATAGAGCTTCCTCATCTATAGCTTGTGTGTCATTGGCTAAAACCATGCATGTTCCTCATTTATCCATTTTAATATTGTATACTGCACATTTAGTAGATTAAATTTTATGCTAGGAAGTTGTTTCTGTTTTACATTTTATTTTATTTTTTTAATTTTATTTCATTTATATTTTTTTGAAAAATGTACTTATTGATTTTTTTTAATAAGCATGTTTGAAATAAATAATTTTAGATACCCAAGTAGGCTTTCAAATCCAAAGAGTTTTTTTTTTAAATTGACATAAAAACACTCTATTTAAATGAGGAATACATGTATGTGATTTCTGTAGTGAAAACTAATGATTCTAGTTTACAAGCCTCTGATTAACCTTGTTTCATAATATTTGATGTGCTGGAAACTGGTTGTTGTAATTTTATGTTTGTTTCTCCATTCTGTTCTAAAGCATATAGTCTTGTATAAAACCAACCTTTATAATACATTTCTGTCTCATGTCGGAAAGAGATGCCTACCCAAACCAAACACACCTATCTATTTCCCATCAATTATACTTTGGGTGTCTTGTTTAAAAGTTGTGTCAGATGATCCCATCTGCCCAACAACATTGCCACGTTGGCAAAAAGTATAGGAAAGGGGTAAAATGCGAGATTTGTAGAATATTGTAATCCTTTAAGTATTGAGAGAATCTGGCAGGAGCAAAAATGTTCAGATAGTCTAAATACACCTACAGTCTTTTTTGATTAAAGCTATCAGACAACTCATAAGAGCTATTGATGGTTTTCACCAATTTCTGCATTTTTAACTATAAACAGAAAAACAGATTCAACATGGACGAAATGGTAAATCGACTTCTTAAAGGAGTTATTGTCCTTGAATAACAACTTTTTCCCTTTATATGTGTTTTTGGCTATAATCTTCATATCTATATTACATGAAAGAAACTTTAAACAGCAAAACTGATCAGCAAGATGAGATCAAAATGCCTGAAATTGTTAATTAAACTCCATATATAAATGTTATTTATACCAATTTTTTAGGAAACTGTAGTAGAAAAAATCAAAGTGTAAACAGTAAAAATTATCAATAAAATAAAAATTCTGGAAATAAGACAATATTGCAGGAATTGTCAGTTCACTCCTTACAAGATTTTTTTCCTACAATTACAATTTTAACCCATTTATGGCAAAAATTATTGAACCAGTGCAAAACTGTAATTAGCAAATATGATCTGCAAAATAAGATCTACTAAGCCAATTGACTTTATCGTTGACATAATAAGAGTTGCCCTTAAGGTGGTACCCAACACCTTGACTAATATTAATTTGGCTCGTTTAATTTTCCTAAAATTTTGACAAAATGTTTACTTTGACCCTTTGACAAAAATATATAAATTTCAAAAAATTTGAACCAACCACTTTATCAGAAAAATTTCACTGGTTATATAGCAGTTTGACAGACACTAGTTTTGATCATTGAGAAGCTTAATATTTCCTTAACAATACAATGTGATTAAAACGTCTAGCTGATTTTTACAGAGTTATCTCCCTGAAGTGTTAGGTACCACCTTAAACGATGATATTTTTTCCCCCATTTTTTGTTAAATCCTAAAACCTTCTTACATTACAGGAGTTCTTGGCCCTTAAAAGATTCAACCTATTTAAATTTTTTTTTATCATTTTTGCCTTTCACATGTTTTATCTTGAAAACTATATAAAAACTTAGTCAGGCATAACTATTCAGCATGACAATATTTTGGCCCACACATTCCCATTCATTCTCATTCTACACAAATAGTATTGTTGTAGAGATGGCTTTCAAAGTTCATGCATTTTCCCATACATTTCTGATGTCACAATGTTTATGTTATTGCGTCACAGCAGAATTTGATTGTTTAATGACATCTTTTACACTGATTGACTCTGGGTCAACTGACATAACTCATTTATAAACAAGATTTAAAAATTTGTCTATTGTATCAGATTTATGAAAAAAGTACCAGGTGAGTCATACAGGTTCCTTAGATCATTTAATTCATATATATTTAATAAATATATGCCATTGATATGTAGTGGACTGAATTAGTAAAAAGTATATGAAATATATCTTGGATCATTATAGTTGCACAGAATTTTAGATTTGTAATGTTTTTTTCCTACTTTGATAGCATTGTCATTTCCAGGCGATCTGATGTCTATTAAGTTTGCTGGTTGTTTTCTTAGGACTTTAATATATATGCATATAAAGATTGGGAAGTGATGTGGTATGATTGCCAATGAGACAACTTCAACAATGAGAAAAATCCCATACTGTATAGTCAGCTATAGAAGGCCCTCACATGAAAAATGTGAAACTATTCAAACGAGGAAACTATCAGTAGCACTGCAAGTTACACAGGGACAATTTCCTACACCATACATTAAATCTACAATAATTGATTGGTTGATAGAAAGTTTAACAATATATTAAGTATGCATACATGCATTTACTTTGGAGTTCGGTATTCTTGTTATACTTTTTTAACGCATGCTAAACCCTAGAAGAAACTGTATGAGTCAGACTATATAGTCTGTTCTAATGGTAAATGCTTCACAGTATGAAGAAAATATATGAATTTTCAGGTTCAGCCAGATCCTTATCCGCCTATGTCAAAAAACAGACATACCTCAGCTCCAACTCAAAGCAGGGCAGGTAGACCAACGTCAGGACTGTATAGAGGACCAACAATTACTAGAGATGAAAAAGCTGGTGCATTGAGTGTTACTAGTTCAAGACTGGTATGTTTATATAAGTTTACAAGAAATATATATGCCGCTAGATAATTACATCACATTCAAATGACATTCAAAAATCATATGAATTGCAAATAACTCTGTTCTTTTCCACACTTTTGTTTATGCCTTAGAGATGTGTATTAAAACTTGCTCTCCTGTCAACACAATTTCTTTTCTTGTTCTCTGTTTTATTTCTGCTGCATTTCTTGATTAAATAAAGGGGGAGGGAGTTTTTTTTTTTTTTTTCCTTTTGGGTAATATATGAAAATGGTGAAGATTTGCACCAGACAAGAAATGCAGTATCACTTTTCTGACACAGAACAGCACCAAAGTCTTGGCAGCTATTCACAGCACAGTAGATTAGTATGATATTTCATGTTTACTCAACAAATATTGACAAAAATATTGGAGAAATTTTGTTGACAGCTGCTGATGTTTGTTATTTTCTAATAATAGTGTTATGTAAAGTTTGTTGTTAATTGCTATTGAAAAAACTTGAAATTTTGTGAAAATCATGAAATAACATGAAACAGTGTGTTAAGAATGCCTTTTTCTCAGTCAGGAATTGGCCGGTTGTTAAAATGTGCAATGGAACCTTTACCTCCCATCCGATCATACACACATTATTACGTAAGTTTTCAAGTGTGTTTTGTGCTAGCTTTGACAGGTTTCACATATGAATGCACAATCACATCCTTTTTTTTTTCCATCTTCATCCATTCTGTAGTTATGATATGCACAGTCATAGCCCCTTTTCAACCAATTGATATACATATTACCGTATTTTCAAATCCATCATTTTGAAAATGATGCAATCTTAAAAAATAATCTAGTTCTCAGATACTGCTGTGTCAGGAAATCAACTGCCAATAGTCTTTGTAATTGAGGTGTAAAATGAATACAAAACAGTTTTGAATTAGAAATTGAATGGAGATTACACAAATTTGATTAATGAATTCCAAATGTTAACTGGATAGTTCTGGGAAAGTTGTTGTTTCAATGTGGAGATTGAAAAAGTCGTATCATGTGACATTTTTCTATGCACATGCCTAGATTTTTATGCAGGCAAATTAAGCAAATGTTATGATTTGATTAGATTTCCGCCTAAAAAGTGGACCATATAATTTTAGTTTGACTTCCTCACCCTGATGAAATCTTCCATAAGGTGACATCATCCATATGTTGATGTTTTCATGCAGACGATGTTTTACTGATCCAAACACTGCATAGATTTCTGACGTTATCAAGTGATTTTTATGTGTAAAATGAAATCAGACAGGGTAAAACAGACTGTCTATGAATTTAAAGTATAGCAGCTTCCATTCTCTAGTAATATTTTTTAGTTTAAAACACATGTTCTTCACAGTTTTCCTGTAAGGTTTAGGATTTAAGGGATAGTAATATTTGGTCCTGTATATTCTTGTTGCTATGGTGGAACACTTGATTTTCAAATATAATAGAAAAACAAAGGATATGGGGAATCCATCCATGACTCAAAATCAGTAAATGCACAGCAAAATAACACAAAATAAATAGTGATTTACAAATTTTGGTACAGACCTTCCGGCTGAAGTTTGAAAAACACCCCCATTCATATAATGATTAATGCTAAAATCCCTACTCGTTCATATATTTCATAAAAAAATCCCAACCCATTTATATATTTCATAAGAAAAACCCAACCCATTTATATATATTTCCAATCTATCATGACATCTTATTACAATGAGATGTTAACCACATGGGATACATGATTTATATGAAATAAAAAGATAAGAACACAGTTTACAGACACTTAACAGAAGATGAACATGTATGACCCATTGGCATATAAATTTCTACCCATTGATATATTACCGTGAAATTGCACCCCATTGATGTATTTGACACTCTAAAAAAGTGACCCATTCCAGCAGCAGGTCTGTGTATACCTTTACATAGGAAGAGTCCCCCTGTGTAATTGAAAATGATCAATCATTAGAATTTCCCAATTGATTGATTACAGGTATATCATTTTTCAAAAATTGATAAAAGTAAAAAAATATCTGTAAAATGTTCTGTTTTAATGGAAACGGTCCCAACCTTATCACAACTACATGTAAATGTAACAATGCATTAAATTGGCTTCAAAACACCCATTTAGTATCCATTTTGTACATATACACACTATTTTTGGTATACAGACTCATTAAAGTACAATGTATCTGTTCATTTTGGTAATTCTAGTTCAATACTATAAATCACATGCACAAGTATTACATTAGGAAAACTGTGTTACTAAACTCCTACGTTATATGAATATGAATTTTAAAAAAAACAAATTATAATTGAAATCAAACCGGAGCAAGCTTTTCCATTATTCTGATTGATCAATTTCTAATTTTCCAGCTGATTCCTCCAAAAAATATATAATGTAAATTAAAAATTTGATGTTTGCATTATTTATTGTGAATCTTTTGCAATTGATTTATGCAGTTCGTACATATTTGTTATAAACTTTTAAAGCACAAATTAAGAGTGTTTTCAATTGTTGTGAAGTTGATTGTGTCCCATTATTAAAAAACGTTTTAATTGATTTATAATGATAATAAGCAGGAGTACCCTTCTTGTGCTATTTTTATGGATTTGAAGAGTGTCAAAATGAAACACATTCAGTTATAAGACTATGTAAATTTCTAAACTGATAACAATATATCAACAACATAGTTGTCATCTGCACATGTGTGATTTACATTTGCTGGCACTTGATGTATTATGTACAATTTATAGCAGCACTGCTTTTAGTACAGAGACTGTTTAACTGCACGTATCTTTGTATTCTAATGCTTTTCATCATTAATTCATTGCTTTGGTACATGAGTCATTTGCAATTCATATAGTTTCTTGAATTATCCTATTGCTGCTGGGCATTTTTTTTTCCAGTGTTTAGATTTTTTACTTTAACCATGTTTTTCATGCTAGTTTATTCCAGTAGGAATATTATTTTTCTTATTTACCATTTTTATTATATTTTTATTTGTTTAGGTTGTGTTTAATAAGACAGTCAGTTTATTTATGTAACCTGTGAAATTGGTCAAATTATGCATGGAGAACTTATTCTATGTTTAAAACTTTGAAGTAAAGACAAGGTATTTTGCAAAAGTTTAGTTAAATGTTAAAAACTTTCATATTAAAGTGTATATTTCCAAATTTTTACAATCATTCCATTTTTCAGATCACTATAAGTCTTTGCATTTTGCAGGTACCTGGTCAAAGACCAATATCAGCTCAAAATAAGCCACAAAAGCCCATCTATGGAAGGAAACAGTTCAGTAATGCTACAAATGTGCCGTCTGCTGGGGCACCAAAGGAGTACTTCGGTAGTTATGCCCAAGATATTGGTACAATCACATCATCAGGCTTGGCTGCTCTGCAGGGTAAAAAGGCCTAAAGTGTCACAAAATTGTCTTTCATAAAACTTTGGAGCATGCTCCTTAATTTCTGAGTTGAACTCAATATGTTGGCTGTCTTTAATTAAATATATACTATTGACTATTAAGACAGAAGTTACATTTATTGTGGAAATGTATGACACAGATGATCTTTATGCATTACCAGTTTAATGGAGTGAAGAAGCAGAAATATGTAAAATATGAAAAAGGTGCCAATATGTTAACACTAGATGTTCAGAATAGCTGCTGCATATCAGTCTGGGGAAACAGCTTTGTTATCTCCATATGTTGTTATCAAATTTTTCCTGTTTAGGGAAACATCTACATATAGCATTTAGTTTGCTGGAAAAATTATAGATTTCAAATTATTTTTCACTGTTTGAATGTGCACAATATGAAAAAAAAAAATATAAATTATGTAAAATATGAGTTCCAGAGTGATATCTGTGTAGTTCTAAGTGTAAACAAATTTACCTGTTGTGCTGAACTAAGATGATACCATTTATACATCAACAATCAACCATACTTTTATTTTTTTTAATTGTAATTTTAATGATGTATTTTAATGTTTACATTATATTCAAATAACATTCCATTACTGTGTTATATATATATATATATATATAATGTCTTGGTTGTGAATGATAATCTATAAAGAAATTTACATGCATTATACAGGTCCAGAACACATTTGCATATTCAGTTGTCACATTTTCATTCAATAAATAATGTTTTTTTATGAACACCATAAGTATGAATGTTAAGTAAATTTGGGCAATTTGAGCTCCAGGTAAGTTAGGCCTTTGTGGCAATTTGTTGAAGAAATAAGTATGAAATTTAATTTATTAAAACTTTACTACAGGTTTGGAATAATATGATAAACCCATACAAAGTAACTACCTTTTAAAACATTTTGTGAAGAATCTTAGAAAAACCAAATACAATAAAGTAATATTACATGAATATAAAAGTTATTTGCTGGCGTAAGTAAATAGTTAACGTGAGTTGTAAAGACTTATAAACAAAGTAAAGAAGAATCAGTTTACTTTTCTGATTTCTTATGATGATATATTAAAAAAGTTAAAATACAGCAACTTCCTTTTACTTAATATATCAACAAAGGCATTCAGCATTGGATGATTATTGATAAAATTCTTGGAATATCGTTTGAATACTCATGTCCATTTTATCTCATGTATAACATTGTGTTCAAATTCATTTATGCCATGATAGTACTATATAGTCAGTCATCATTGAGTGCATAAAATGTAACCATCACTAATGTTTATGACGTCCAATTCTGGTACACATTGATACATAGATATAAACAAATTAATTTCCCAGTTATTTGAACTATCCTAATGTAATTATTGACTATATGTGATGAGGTTTCTGATATAAGTTTCAGTGACTATATATATACTTTATAAAATGTAAAATAAGCACATTGATATCGCATATGAAGTTTATTCTAGACAAAATAATAAAAATGAGATATTAAGAAAGTAATTAATTCTTTAAGGAAAATGATTGGGAATATACGTCATGAAAACATTGATTGATTTTGGTTTGATTTAACAAGCCACATGCCATTTAGCAGTTTTAGCTTAGCTTCCTGAATATTGTACAATGATTAAATAAATGAACAATATGAAATCCGTAATGTCAATCTTGTCATGGAACTTGAATCTAAATCAATTTTTATATTATTTAAGTGTTCATTTTGTTATCATGATGAAGTAATTAAATTTGTTGTCTTTTCAAAGTGTAAATAAATGATAGGAGGGACAGATGATTTGTTATTCAACACAGATGTAGATTTCCGATGAAAACTGTAAGCTTTTTTTATCAACATAATGACATCTCATTGTCAGTAATAGATACTTCTTACATTGCTGACAATGAGATGTTCACATAACCAGATACTTACTTCTAAAAAAATCTATGTGAAATCCACATCTTTATACAATTTTTGATCACAATACAACCAAGTCAGGAACCTCATCAATTGTTGCTGTAAGCTATATTTTGATAGGATTTTTTCCCTGTAAGGGTTAAGTGTTGATCAAGATTTTAATCTCTGTTAAATTTTGTTGGTACATTTTTAGACTTGGGACAATTTAGAGCTAGACATATTGTTTTGACATTTGTCTTGTTTTTGTCATTAGGGTTGCTGTCTCATTGAGGTATAACCTGCATATCCTTTAAATTATAATAATTGTCTTGCCTTTTCAAAATCATTACAGCTTCCCTTTGAAGGTTGTCAAAGGCAGGTTTAACTGTACATAAATGTATGTATTATTAGGCAGTATGTAAATGCAGAAATTGTATCAAGATCAGAAGTTCAATAAAAGATTTCAGAAAAAACTTCACAGGTAACATTCCATTTTTACTTAATTATTTTTATACATTGTACTTGAAGTTCTACAGGGATTTTATTATTGATAAAGTGTAACAGATATATACATTTGTAGTTTCAGTTTTGTGTTTTCACATGATGCCTTGAGCATTTTGATATATAGGAATACCTCAAGACAAACATAATTGTCTTCAGGCACATAGTTCCAAACTATTGATGAACAATGATAGAACAAGACAACAGAAAGGAACTCTGTTTTAATTTATTGCCAATGCTGTGAATCAGGATACTGATTGTAGTTGTTAAATGATGTTTATATGTTAAAACCAAATTTTGTTTGTTATGTCAATTTTAAATGACAGGAGTATGAATGAAAAGTTGTGATATTGAAAACTTATCCCTCCAGATTTTGTGATCCGTCCAGTATTAATGTGTTGTATCCATTCCATCCAACTTAACATTCCAGTATTTTTTCTACATAGTTTATGATTATTTTTATTTATTTGTAAATTATTTTTATTCATGTTATCATATTTATTATACATTGAATCATTTATCTCTATGTAAAAATCCATTTATTTGTAAATAGTGTAGTTTAGATGAATTGCATTTTAGATATAGAAAGTATAAGAGGTCATTGGCTGCATCATCTTGTCTTGATACAATGTTCTCTATTTGTTTTATTAAATATCAACAGGAACGTGCAAAGCTAACCTTTTTTTGTTAAAGTTGGTCACGAATAAATATGTGTTGACATTAAACTGACCAACCTTATTTACATTTTTATAAGTGAACAAATTAAGTGCTCTTTTTTTTTGGAATCAATGTCCTATGTGCCAACAAAAAATTTTTATGTTCAAAAGCACAAAAGTATAGCTAGAATAAATTAAAGGAGTAGGTCCGGTAAGGGCCGATTTTGGCCCCAAATTTCAGGTTCATCTGATGAAAGATTTTGGACACTTTTTAAACACTTAAGTGTCTACTTTAGTAGAATCAATTAATTTATGTGAAAGATTTGAACTGATTTAGTCATTAAAGACGCTCATATTATATAATATGTCACTTTTCAGATGGTTTTTGTCAAAAATGAAAGTGGCCGCATCCGTGTTCATCCTCAACCTTTATATATGTTATGTATTATCATCAAATACAACTTACATTTAAATATTAAGAATGAACACAAATGCGGCCACGTCCATTTAAGACGGAAACCGTCTAAAAATTAACTCAAATGCTAAAATTATGAAGATTTCAGTAATTTAGCATGAACTAATGATGCTAGTACCTGATAAATATGCATTGTATTATCAAAAACAGCCCATATGTATGTAACAGAAGTATTCTTCTTTCCAATGAATAGCTAAAAGTTTACATTTTAACAATTTAGTAAAACTGCTATATTTTGGGGCCAAAAAGGGGTCTTACTGAACCTACTCCTTTGATTAATCAATGAGGTCTAGTTATAATTCTATTTATTCAGTTTAGTTTCCGTATTTTTCCTTCCTTATTTAAATGATGAGTAAACTTTGACCTGTATGCAACTGCTAAATGATGACAGAGGTGTTGACAGGATCAACATTATATATGTACCAATATCTTATTTAATGTAGAAATTTCAATACCACAAGGTTGCAATATGACTTCACAAGATTTAAAAATTAATGATAATGCATTTGAAATTAAGTGGAAATTTAAATAAACAATGTCAGTCTAAGATTTATCAACTGTTTTTCAATGTAGGATTGCTTGAATCCTTTTTTATTTCAAGGTCATAAGTTAACGATAAAGGATGTGCCCTGGTTACCTAGGATGTTCTGACATGGATTTGAATAGTTGTTGATCTATCAATCTTTCAAAGGTTAAGGTTACCTGATAGCATTTTAGAATAACGCCTATTCTAGTTATGTGTATTTTCAGGGGGGTTGTTTACTTTTTTTCCATTCAAGTTTTCTTATGATTTGACAAGTATTTATTTGTCATTTTTCTATGCTAAAATTTGCTAAATTACAGTTAATTTGGAATATATCTTTTTCAGTTTGTTAGTATCTAAGGGACAAGAGGCCAGTGTTCACAAATATGACATTACATTTTTTTAAATGGAAGGATATAAAAGTGGAATTTGCAATACATGGAGATCAATGAGCTAGAATCTAACTGTAGGGTTTTGATATCTTATATATAATTTGTTTTGATTTGTTCAACAATATATATGATGCATGCCAATTGTCTGCTGTGCTTTGAAATGTAACATTTTATCTGTTGATTGTCTTTATCATTAGTTTAATTTTAACTGAAAGAAGAGCATTCCCATTAAAACCTGAAATATAAAATAAAGGTGGATGATATACTTATCTTTATTGTATTTCACTATGCTTATAGCCTTGCCTCTTGTGAAAAACTCGAACCACAACTGTTAACATTGAAAATGATCATACACATCAATGCTTTACTGAAATATGTGAATTTCTAAACATATGGAGTCGGTTTCACAAAAAAACTTGCGACTAAGATTGATCGTAAGTCATGAACAATTCAGTATACTTACGATCAATCTTAGTTGTATGTTTTTTTGTGAAACCGACTCCAGATGGAGAAAATTTTGACCTGACAAAGTTCTACAAAATAAATATACACCATTGAAATTTTTTGTTAACGCATTTTGTTTTATTTAGATGAAGTAAAATTTTTGTTTCACTAGTTCCTTAAAAGACATTTTTGTGTTTATTTATCTTTGATACAAGAAATAAAAAGAACCACAACATAAATACTGATTATTTTCAATCAGATATATACTTTGCTTATCTAAAATTATTCAATAGCACATAGTATTTGAGATTTAAGGCTTTTGAAATCTTGAAGGATAATGTTAAAAATTTATGCTATTTCCAATGACATGTCTTTTGACAGCTTTAAGCCAACAGTTTTACATACAAGATAAATCTTCTTCTGTAATAAGCTTGTCTAGAACCATGCTCATACTGAATTTTTTCATGCACTACTTTGTGCTTATCTCAAAATATTCGTAATCTAAAAGCACATACTTCAGGATATTTTAGGCTTTTGAATATATACATAACTGGAAAAAAGAAAGTGTGAAATCCTATAAAACTGTATGAAATTTACAATACCTACAGTGCAAAGTTGTTATGACACAATCTTGTTTTTATACCAATATAAAAATATCCAGTGGTGCTGAACTCCTTACTGTGAATTTTTGTATGATCCTTAAGCACATCCTCACTTTTCGAATTTTCATTCCCACAAAATTGTTTTGTTTCAGTTTTTTGTGGAATAAGGTGTAAAACATTTCTCTTGTATCTAATTAACAAGGACACAATTAACAAGTGAAGAAAGAGTCTCTCTGCTTGGGAGAGATCTGAGATTTATTGATGCAGAAAACTTCGCTAGCAGATACTGCCCTAACCAAACAGTAGTCTTTCATTGTGATAATGTCTGCTTTAATTTTGGCAACATTGGATATTGATGCATTTTATTGACGTGCTTTAGTGATGTGACATAATGCAGATATCAAAATCTCGCTGGAAGTAAAAAAAAAAAGCAGTTCTGGTGGTAACTTTGACCAATAATTATAATTCTTAAATTCAATAAATCTGATCAATTCATCAAAACAATTTATTTGAAAGAATGCATTATGCTCTAGAACTGTTATTCCATCAGTAATATTGTTTTATAATGTCACCTAAAGGCATGCTAACGTGTGTATATGGACTACAACAAGGATTAAAACACAGAATGGCACACCTTCCCATATTCTAAAAGCATAAAATTTGCTCTACTATCTAGAGATATAAATTTAAAAGTTTGAAATATTCAATGGCGGATCCAGAAGGGGCGTACACCCCCCTTTGCTTGCGCTTTTTTTCTTTTTTTTTTTTTTTTGTAAAATGATTAATCAGACTTGACTTCGAGAACTTTGCCATTTCCCGTGTATTTAATTTTTATGCGACAATTCATTACTTGTAAAGATATTTTTCTCTCGTATTTACTATTATTGATTATGTCAAAGTCATGTGATTCGCTACGGTGGAGTTGACCAGTGCATCGAAAAAACGTCACTCAGTCATTTTGAAATTCAAATTACAGTTCCACATTGCTTAGGCTGAGGATGACAAGCATGACACCTTCAAATTGAGTAAGGCCATGATTGAGCAAGAACGTATTGACTTCTATTTCACAATTCCACCAAACAGAAAGTAATACTCTATTACACTCTCATGAAAAAAAAGTTCCACAGCAATATTATTTACCTACAAAAACATGTTTAACCCCACACGCCCCAGCCCATTAATAACATTGCCGAATAATAATCCCCTGTCAGTAAGCTCTGGATAGATTTTAAATCTAAGTTACGGACCAATTGATTTGAGGGGGCAGTCTGAGATATTTTAGAGAAAAAATTCTGACCCTGATTTTTGCCTTAAACAAAAATTCTTGCCGTATCTGGATTGAAAACAATACCGGTTAACTTGTCCACTTTTTTGCTATTAGAAAAAAAAAGATTTTCAACAGAATTATTGAGCATTTAATGAACATAATGAATGAAAAACGGGCGTAATTTTTTTGGGGCCGGGGGTTTGCATGTTGTAAATCCCATATCTGACCGGAATGTCTGTTTCGCCGAACTGATATGCTGAATACTTTTTTCAAGGCCCGACTTTAACCTGCCTGCTCGGTGTGGCCTTTATGTCTCCATTTGTCGACCGTCATTCACAACTTCGTTGCCATTTCACACTCATTCGTAGTCTTTGGTTGATTTGGAACCCCTCACTTCCCTTGTTGGGTGAAACATTTCAACCAGACATTTGGTTAAAAATTGCTAGTTTGTCTTTGTTCGTGTCTGTCGTATTGTAAATTTCATTGAATGGCCGTATATCTTGTTTTCAACAAGAAATCTGTGAGGTTATGCTAACTAACCTTACAACAAACGAGAATTTCCATGTCCATTTTTGTCGAGCCTTCGACTTTTGTTGAAAAAGCGAGACATAGCGATCCTACATTCCGTCGTCGGCGTCGTCGTCGTCGTTGTTGTCGTCGTCGGCGGCGTCCACAAATATTCACTCTGTGGTAAAGTTTTTGAAGTTTTAATAACTTTCTTAAACTATCCTGGATTTCTACCAAACTTGGACAGAAGCTTGTTTATGATCATAAGATTATATTCAAAAGTAAATTTTGTAAAAAAAAAAATCCATTTTTTCCGTATTTTACTTATAAATGGACTTAGTTTTTCTGCCAGTTAACATTAAGGTGCATTCACACGATACGATTTTCCATTCGATTTTCATTCGATTTTTACCTATGCACCTGCTTTCGACTAAAATCGTACCGTGTGAACACTAAAATCTGAAGTCGAATGTCAAGTCGAAACGTCGTTTTGAAATCGAAACGTACGCTATTTCCATTCGACTTTTTAACTGGAATCGGATCGTGTGAACGCCTAATCGACTAACTGATTTTTAGTCGATTGAAAAAATCAAGAAAATAATTCTAATCGACAATATTCCGACTTTCACATCATTCTAAACGTGTTTATTTCGTAAAGGGAACAGTGTCATCTTTTGTTCATGACATAAACCTTGCCACCGTTACACAAAGCCTTCGTAAGTCTACGTGTCATCGTACGTCCATCGTAAATAAATCGTAGGTTTTACAGCCGTTTCACAAATCCGTCGTAAGTTAAGATGATCGTAAATAATACATAAATCCTGGCGTAACTTACTAGCTACTGCAGTATTTAACTTTTAACTCATCTTATTTCCTTCCCGGTTTCCGTCTAGTCAATGTACTAAATTATATAGGCTTTCTATCACGTCCGCGTTCTGATATCTATTCATAATTACTTCACTTCAGGCACAGTGGTAATCGACAAAACGTTTAAAGGAGGATGTTTTATTATTCCCATTAAAAGAGCTCACAATGAACTTATTAATACAATGTATATCATTATTTTTTACAAATAATACACAAAAAAACAATATACATAGCTACAATAGTATATAAACATTAAAACGCCACAGTTTTTAAAATTAGAACTACACTTGTAGATAATATTTTTGTATCTACTTTTTTGGAAATAAAATTGTCCGCTTGTAGAGAAAAATAAATAAAAACTACATATTGAATATAACCACGTGGCCCGTCTGTATGCATGCAGATAGGTCTGCATAAATTAAATTAAATACAAAAGAAAACCTTAGACTGGTTGTGTATACACGTAAGACACCTCGGGTTTGGTGCCCCTGCCATAGTTAATTAATTCTATAAAGTATGCCATTATAGTGTTCTTCCAGATTGAAATAAACAATTAATTTCCCCATAGGCGACAATGATAGCCTTTTCCGAGATACAGTCTATAGAAAGTTGATTTTTTTAACGAAACCTTGCTAGAATTAAAGAAAAGTTATTAGGACAGTATTTTTTGGTCCAAAAAATAGAGGTTCGCGTAGCTTTTCTGAGCGTAATTTGTACTTATCTCCCATGTCTATCACTTTTGCACTTAAAAATACGTGTCTCATCCTAGCGTTTAAAAGACATCTCAGTTCCGTTAGGGCTAAGGAAAATAATTTATTTGGCCTTTGGTATAATGCAGAATCCACGAAGGTTCTCATAACAAAAAATAACGGGCGCACATATCAACCAATCAGGATTAGCTGTACTATACGCCCATAAAATCTAATGTTTTTTTGTAACCTCCAAGCTTTAACAAAAGGCAGTTAACTTACCTTATGCAGCTTGAATGAAAAAATGAGCTCGTCAAACTATCTATAATTTTCTATATATTTAAAAAAAACAAGAGGCTCTCAAGGGCCTGTATCGCTCACCTGTTATTCTTTTGCTTAAATCTTTCGTCAATGATTATTTTTGCTTTTCAATATATATTAATGAGTGGCTTAAAAATGCCATTTATATTTTCATTGTATCTGTCATATTTTCTTCAAAAGCAAATAAATGCATTTTACCCATATGTTCCATTTTAGCCATAGTGTCTATGTTTCTTGACGCACAAGGAAATAAAATACAAAATTTATACTAGATTCATTTGAGAAGATTTTTAAAGTTAAAAAACATAAACAACGGGTGTAACATTGTCCTTAAAGGGCAATAACTCCTTGAGGGGTCAATTGACAATTTTGGTCATATAAAAACTTTTTTGTAGATCTTACTTTGCTGAACATTTTTGCTGTTTACAGTTTATCTTTATCTTCAATAATATTCAAGATAATAACACAAAACTGCAAAATTTTCTTAAAATAACCAATTAAGTGGCAGCAATCCAACAATGTGTTGTTCGGTTTGTCTGAAAATTTCAGGGCTGATAGATCTTGAC